GTTGCATTCCCCCTAGCTTGACTTTTCATACACGGTAGTAGTCGAGCGACCCTTTCTTTCTGTAATGGGTGGTTTGTGGAACCTGCAAACCCTGGTCAGCTAGCTATCACGCCCAACATCATGATGAGTTGCCGGTCTTGCAACACAGAACCGTCAGCTCCTCAGGACACATCCCTCACATCCCCAGGACCCTCCGGAACATAACACCGGTGATGTTTGAATGCTGACAAGCTTCCCGATACGAAGAGGGGTGAAAGAGCACGGTTAGGTAGGTAGGTAGGTAGGAGGCACGTGTTGACCTTGTGAACACTCTGACGGGAGCTGACTGCCTCACCGACTGCCTCATGTACCTGCTAACCGACCTACCTACCTCACACCTCCTTCATCCCACATACACCCAGTTCACCGACCAGCAGGCTAGATCTCTGCTTGCTAGCGGCTGACCTGACACCCCACAGCCCACTATTCCACAGTTTATTACAATAGTTTACAATAGTTTACAATAGTTTTACAATAGTTCACGCCTACCACACCACCCTGGCAACATCACAGCTAAGCCCCTCGCATTGGCTTTGCCAGCGATCCAGAATCTGTAGAACAGCTGGCATTAGCCCACAAAGCCCGTCTAAGCGGGTTCTGAGGTCCGGCAAGGAGTACCCTACGCCTTCGGCCGCTGCCCTTGAGGAGGCGGCAGCAGGCGACTCCATGACGCGATCCACTCAGAAAGAACCATCTTTAGATGAGATTTACAAGCTGCTTCAGACCCATGCTACACAGACCAAGGCGTCCTTCGACTCCTTGCATAGCAAGACAGATGCGCTGGCTGCTCGTGTTGACTCGCTGGAAAAGAATATTCCGGAAATAATTACCAAAAAGGTGGAGACCGAAATGAAGCAGTTCGAAGTTCGGGCCGCGCAGTTCATCATCGAAACTGTGCAGTCTCAGCTCGCGGGGGCCCCTACGTTTGCGACCGACCGCACCGGGTCTAAACAGCGTAGGAACTTGACCGGCAAATCTGCCTACTACGATTCCGGCTCCCTGATCGCGTTTGGCGTCCCGGCTCTCGCGACCGCTAAGCAAGCAGCGGAAGCCATCACCCAAGTCGTCTCCGATGCCAGTGGAGGAAGCCTCCAGGCCTCCTTCCTCAGCGTCGAAGTACGCACTGAGAAGCCACGACCCAACCAGGCGGCCCCAACATACAACATCACCATCGGCGTCACCCCCCGTGTCCGTGGTATGCTTTTCCGACACAGCCAGGCCCTTAAGGCCATCGGGGGATCCTCAGA